CATGTCACGAAACTTCGGAGAACAGTAGAAGGTAGCAGGTTTTCGTTTATCTATATATTTTTACAAATTTTTGTGACTGTTTACAAAATTTACGTTTTGGACGTTTAAATACAAAAAATCACTACCAAATTGGCAATCTAAACCACTACCAACAAATGCCACCCTTGGGGTCTGCATTATTTTTGCCGTTTTATTTAGTAACAATTTTCACTGCCACCAATTGTTCTTGAAAATGTTTACATTATCCAAAATCCTAGCAAAAAATGTAGCTAAATGCCTGAATCGCTCCGATTTGTGTCCCTTTGGACATCTTGTGAATTTAAAGATTTCACGTTTTTACTGCAGGAACGGTTAAACATTTGTCTAAATTCAGTCATACACATTAATATGCCAAAGTCGCCCCGAAAACAATATCATTTCAGCTAAAATAGGATAGATGGAGGGGTAGCGTGTCGAGTCGTTCTTGAAGTCGTTAGAAATCATATTGCTGTGGCAAAGTGTATTATTGACTCGGAGAAAGATTGGGACGTTATTGGCCGTCAAACAGAAGTACAAGGACAAAGCCTTAAGTGTCCGCTTAGAAAAGCTGCAAAGGTAAAGGATGGATTGTAGCATGCTGTAGTCTCCTCTTCTCTTCCGACGACCATCTGTGGTGCTGCTCTCGGTCATTTTCACGATGCAGTCGGTGGTGCAAAAATACTCCGCGTTAATCGATTACATTAACCATTGTGTCTGCTTGCAAGTGAGAGGGCGCAAATTGCGATTCACTGATTTTCCGTATTAATTCCACTGAGCTTGAGAGGAAGAAAAGAGAATTCGCCGAACACTGATATGACTGCGATTTCATTAAACGAAGGACGGACATTCAATCGGTTCATGGGGATGTTTGTTTTGTTCTTACTTCCTACTGCAGTGCTATTCAGCTATGGTGCCCGAATGGGTTCAATCCACCCATTGGACAGCTGGAGGTGCCGCTTATTGACGTAAATTACATCTTCATGCAGACACCGTTGACAGCTCCTGCACGAGCTTTTCTAGACGGTTCACGGACAAGTCGCTTTGGTTTTTGATAGCAATCTTGCAGAAAAGACAAATGTCATGCTCAACATCTTCCATAAAGATTGTCACAGCTTCCCCCATCGTCAGCATTTGTCCTTCGTCTGGCCTATTAGCAATGATAACCCAGTAGTAGGCATCAGGTTAGTTGGCCCTTGGGAATGGAATTGCTTGCTTCTGCTGCCGATTGTGAGATTTCAGAGTCCCCCAGATTTGTAAGAACTCGTAGTACATTGCTGTGGTAAAGGGCTGTGAGGCTAACGACATGACTATCCGAGCGGGAGAATAATTGTAAAGGCTTAATCACGGCTCAAAGCAGATATTCAAAGTGTCACAGGAAGTGATCAGTTATGAACTATTGGTCTTAAATGAAATGAGTGAGCACCACATTCGCGTAATCAATCCCTAAGACAACTTTCTCGGTACCTTCAATGCTACGCACTACTCATCGAAATACAAGGGTGAAAGACTTATTGAGACAAGATTTTGCCACCAAAATTTATGCGATTTACGCAAAAGTGATTCTCTCCTTCATAGACAATGACAACTGTGTACTTCTCGAGCCGGAATCAGACAACGAACATTCAACGTACATCAATGCCAGCTGGATTGATGTAAGCCATTGTCTGTTGAAATCGTTGAATAAATTACTTCATATTCAAAAACCAGAATTTTTTGTTTCTTCAAGATGTAGGAGAAGTTGGTATTTGTTTCAGAGAGCAAGTTTAAAAGACATGCAATACAGAGAATTGTAAACAATCATTCACAACACAAGTTTTCCATTTCTGTTTAAAAAATTTACATCGAGTTTGTGTCCCACCGAGAAGCATCAATTGTTACAACCATGAAATAAAATTGGCAGACGAAATTCGCACGATGCCTCTTGGTACAAGAGTAAGTCAAACACAATGGTTTTGTTTTTGATTCCGGAATTCACACTTCTTGTCAAGACTGGCGCAAACAAATGCTCTATAAATGACTTCCTTCTCCTAATTTTTTAAAAACTGCAACTAAGCTTAATTATTGGAAAACTTAGGTCCATCCTGGGTGTTATAATAAGGGAAATGTGAGGGCCTCTCCTACTTAGAGCCAAGAAGTCCGTTGCGTTTGGCTAATAAGGACTACGTTGTGCAAGCTGGTGAAAATAGTTTTGCTTTTCCTTACAATGGAATGCAAGTTCTGAAAGGTGTCAAAAGGCATAACATTCCCTACTTCATGCGAAAACACTTTGAGAAGTTTCCTGCGGTAAAAGCCAAGTCTTCAGTGCGTGAGTACAGTTTAGAAAGAAATTTTCGAAATACTGCCAGAACAAAATGCGCTAATTCTTAATGAGCGCTATAATAACTCTTCCTATTGTATACCTCTATGTGCGACCTAACGAAAATTATTTTGGGGAAGAAACGAAAGTGAAATAAAGTCTGCTTTTTTGTCCAGTCCTTTTTGTTGTGGACGTCCATAGCTTCAGACCGATAATTGCTCTGTTTAACCAAAATATGAGAGGTCTAAAAATATCTTCTCCAATGCATTTTAAATTTTTATTTAACGGTTGAATTTAGGGCCAAGAACAGGAGCGGAAGTACATAGCAACTCAGGGACCAAATATGAAGACAATTTCTGATTTTTGGAGAATGGTTTGGCAATACAACTGTCAGTGTATTGTCATGGTGACAAGTTTATTCGAACACGCTCGAGTGAGTACGCTCTTGATTTGTTGGATTTGGATCGCTACTTAGAAAATATCTTATTCTTTCTCGGCATACCAAAATGAACTCAATTTTACCCGTGATAAGTACACTTTTACATTGCACCAAAAATCTGTAGTTCTGTTAAAATGCCTCGAAGAAGAAGGGAGGCAAAAGGATGAAGTACAATTTATGTTATTTGCAAACAGCGGATGTATGCGACCACTGACTAGATCTAAAGGCAAATTCCCTAGTAAAATGCAGATTTGAAGTTTTGGATAATCTTGGACCTACAACAAATATTTAAACAATCAATTCACTATCTGTCGCTCCTCTTTTCTAACAATGCCCGTAGCGTTTCTCTTAATCGGCCTTCCACATAAGTCATCACAATGCAGTTACTGCTGTTTGAAGAACACAACTGTGAGATTCCCGCCTCACTGACTTCTCCAGACAATTCCGTTCAACCAACTATGTCCTTATAGGGTACTGTGCTTGCAGAGGAAGGAGTATGCGGACTACCTCAAAGGCTCATTGCGGATGGCTTAAACATCGAGCTCAAAGCAGTAACTATTGAGAGAGAAGCTCTATAAAATGTT